AGGTCAAGACTGCATTGTAATTAAATGTAAGTAAACTGGTTTTTCTGGTTAAAAAACATTCTTGGATAAGAATGGTGAAGATCCCCATACTGAGATATTTACGTTTGCTCATTGTGGAAAAAGCATTTTAAGTGATTGACCAGATTTTAGCAATAACATTGATAACTGATGGATAATACATATGTTGTGGTACAACTGGGCATGCAGTGCAATGCAAATAGTAATTATAACATAAAGTGAAAAGTAATAGTAAATAGTTTAGTCAATAAAATAAACAAATAGTATACAGCAAATAAAATGGTAATGAATACATGTAAAAATATTGATAATAGTTTATTAATAATTCTATAATAATAGCAATAGAATAAGGCATTTCAACTATACAGAATAAACACACACAAAAATATATTTAATATTTAGCTCTTTGTGTTAAACTTCAGTTTTATTGATCAGTAATAGGCTAGCCATTATAACAGAACTAGCTTCAGTCAAACATACAATGTTAAAATAGCCTAAATATAAAGTTATGAAACTTTACTTTGCCCTCAGCCAAAACTATTTACCAGGGAACCATTTATAGATTAATGAGACCAAAGACAGTGATGTAGTGGTGCCTGGAGAAGTGGGTATACTCTTAATTTTTGCCCCCAATTAGGGCTGGGCGATATATCGCACGATATTGTTATGCGCATCTAATCAGTAAAGCCGGTTCCTTGATTAGCAGTAAATCACCTTCACCTGCTTTCAGATGGAGCGGCATTCACTACAAAGAGCCGTAGATCACTGACAAGCTGAGCCAAATCGCGTTAATATCGAGGACATATCGATATCGATATTTAATGCGATATGGCTCAGCTGGTCAGTGAACTACGGCTCTTCGTCACGTCAAAATCTCCCGTGTTAAACTAACACACCTGGGAGTGTATATTAGGGTTGGGCGATATATCGCACGATATTGTTATGCGCATCTAATCAGTAAAGCCGGTTCCTTGATTAGCAGTAAATCACCTTCACATGCTTTCAAATGGACGATATAAGTGTTAAAGTTAATGAGATAATTAAGTGATTAAATGAGTGATGATTGAGCATTATTGAAAACACCTAAAGCAGAATCACAAGGAAAAAATCTCAAATTTTAAGCCACCGTTATGGAGATGAGTGTTTGCTTTAGTTGGGCTCTTGACCCTTATATTATTAACTTTATACTTTAATTTGCTGTTGCATCTGAGTTATATCTATCAGATGAACAAAAATAAACAATAATAAAATGATTTTGGTCATATAATGACGTTTGTCATTTGAAATTTATGTAATTATATATATAAATATAATATATATATATACACAACATTTATAATAAAGTTTATTTATAAAATTTATAACATATAATTTATTCTGTTGCTTAGTGTATGACTTAGATTCTGAATAAATGTCCAGAATGTTAAATATAATAGACAGTTTTCTCAAAAGTTGCTTAAAAGAAAAAAACCCTTCCTTTAGGCACACACAGACCTCAAGATTCAGTCAATGCTTCTCAACAACGGTGACGAGTAGAATATTCAAGTAGGAAAAGTAAATAACATAGACAATTCAGATCATAATATATTCAAACCGCAATGCATGATGGGAGCCATTAATGAGTTGTGATTGGTGGCAACAAGGATTAATTTCGCCACCACAGTTGAGATAGACAGACTGATTATTGATCTCTGTGTTTCTAAATAAGCATGAAAGTATAATAAGCAGAATAATCCCAGACAGCAAACTGACATTGAATCAACGTGGAAACGACGTCTCTCATGACATTGAAACAACGTTGATTTTGCTCATCGAATTAACGTTGAACCAACGTCAGACACAGCATTCTTCAAAGCTAAATGAAAATCGAAAATTGGTTTGCTTTCATAACGTTGAAACAACGCGTTGATTTCAAGTTGATTTTCCGTTAGTTTTGAAAGAATGACGCGTCTGACGTTGGTTCAACGTTAATTCGATGAGCAAAACAATGTCAGATCAACGTTGTTTCGATGTCATATTTCCACGTTGATTCAATGTCAGTTTGCTATCTGGGATATTTATTAATAAATTTATATTAAAAGAAAAAAATACAGATATGCTGTACAATCACTAAAATCTTGCTAACAAGTTAAGCCAAATCATCTGAAAAGTTTCATTTTACAGATCACAGCATGATTATGTCAAAACATAACCAACACTATAAGATCAACGATGTCTTATTTGACTGCTATTAATCAATAATAAAGCAGACACACAAAATTTAAAGTGAAAGTATAAGTGTCAAGAGCCCAACTAAAGCAGACACTGATCTCCATAACGGTGGCTTACAATTTGTGATTTTGTCCTTCAGCGATTCTGCTTGTGATCATCAGGTGTCTTCAATAATGCTCAATCATCACTAAATTAATCACTTAATTATCTCATTAACTTTAACACTCCTATCGTCCATTTGAAAGCATGTGAAGGTGATTTACTGCTAATCAAGGAACCGGCTTTACTGATTAGATGCGCATAACAATATCGTGCGATATATCGCCCAACGCTAGCAACAATGATTAATATCGCCACCACAGTTGAGATAGACAGGCTGATTATTGATCTCTGTGTTTCTGAATAAGCATGAAAGTGATTTGATCAGAATAATATTTATTAATTATTTTAGGTTATAAGAAATATACAGATATGCCGTACAATCACTAAAATGTTGCTAACAAGCTAAGCCAAATCATCTGAAAAGTTTTATTTTACAGACCACAGCATGACTATGTCAAAACATAGCAACACTATAAGATCAAATATGTCTTATTTGACTGTTATTAATCAATAACAGCAGACACAAAATTTAAAGTGAAAGTATAAGGGTCAAGAGCCCAACTAAAGCAGACACTGATCTCCATAACGGTGACTTACAATTTGTGATTTTGTCCTTTAGCGATTCTGCTTGTGATCATCAGGTGTCTTCAATAATGCTCAATCATCACTAAATTAATCACTTAATTATCTCATTAACTTTAACACTTATATCGTCCATTTGAAAGCATGTGAAGGTGATTTACTGCTAATCAAAGAACAGGCTTTACTGATTAGATGCGCATAACAATATCGTTCGATATATCGCCCAGCCCTAATATTGTTATGCGCATCTAATCAGTAAAGCCGGTTCCTTGATTAGCAGTAAATCACCTTCACATGCTTTCAAATGGACGATATAAGTGTTAAAGTTAATGAGATAATTAAGTGATTAATTTAGTGATGATTGAGCATTATTGAAGACACCTGATGATCACAAGCAGAATCGCTGAAGGACAAAATCACAAATTGTAAGCCACCGTTATGGAGATCAGTGTTTGCTTTAGTTGGGCTCTTGATCCTTATACTTTCACTTTAAATTTTGTGTCTGCTGTTATTGATTAATAACAGTCAAATAAGACATATTTGATCTTATAGTGTTTGGTTGTGTTTTGACATAATCATGCTGTGATCTGAAAAATTAAACTTTTCAGATGATTTGGTTTAACTTGTTAGCAAGATTTTAGTGATTGTACTGCATAGCTGTATTTTTCTTTTAACATAAATTAATTAATAAATATTATTCTGATCCAATCACTTTCATGCTTATTTAGAAACACAGAGATCAATAATCAGCCTGTCTATCTCAACTGTGGTGGCGAAATTAATCCTTGTTGCCACCAATCACAACTCATTAATGGCTCCCATCATGCATTGCGGTTTGAAAAAATTATGATCTGAATTGTCTATGTAATTAACTTTTCCTACTTGAATATTCTACTCGTCACCGTTGTTGAGAAGCATTGACTGAATCTTGAGGTCTGTGTGTGCCTAAAGGAAGGGTTTTTTTCTTTTAAGCAACTTTTGAGAAAACTGTCTATTATATTTAACATTCTGGACATTTATTCAGAATTTAAGTCATACACTAAGCAACAGAATAAACTATATGTTATAAATTTTATAAATAAACTTTATTATAAATGTTGTGTATATATATATATATATATATTATATTTATATATATAATTACATAAATTTCAAATGACAAACGTCATTATATGACCAAAATCATTTTATTATTGTTTATTTTTGTTCATCTGATAGATATAACTCAGATGCAACAGCAAATTAAAGTATAAAGTTAATAATATAAGGGTGAGGAGCCCAACTAAATGTGGCGGGCAGTACAAAAGAGAGAGAGAACCAGAAAGAACATCGACTACGCCACCCTGGTCGCTAAGCCAGGGAAAGTGTCCTATTAAAGACACACAGGTTCGGTGTCTCCCTTATATAAAGACTCTGAGACGTGGATATAGAAAAATACAAAAAAGATTCTTTATTTAGACAAAGATAAAAATGCTGGTGTGCCAGTCAGTTAGGTTAACTAGAACCTCACACAATAACAGCTCACAGGGCTCGTGATCACCAGAAGCAGGATGGGCTAGTGCCAGACGTCGCTAGTCTTAGCGATGGTAAAGGAGCACCCACACGTGCACCACACTTCACACTCAATCACGTCAACTAAGACCAATCACTATGGATTGCAGACCACACACTGTGTCTCATCAGGAACCGTCACCAAAATTGGACAACTAGCCCTCCTGCTCCGGGCTCACCGTGCCTGAAACACAAGAAATGAAGAATTACAAAAATAAATCAAAAAAAAATTAATTCAAACAATCATACTCATGGGTACCCAATGTACAGGACACCACATACGAGACATACAATACTATGCGCAACTAGACAAGACACTCCACAATCCACTCAAACCTGCACTCATCAGTGTCAGTGATTGTGAATGGATCGCTACGGGCCCACAGGAACAGTCTCCCTAGGCCGGTTACCACTCACAATCCCTCGTTTCCTTGGAACCAGTCAGGGATAAATCACAGTGAGCAAAGAAAAATAAACATTATTCACAATCCAAACAAAACACAAAACAAGCACCCAAAAATAATAAACAAAACAATACATCAACGAAATCACAAATAATAAAACAACCCCAAGAAAAACACAGAATGTAAATTAATTAATTACCCCCACCCAACTAATACAGCCAAATCACTCAACAAAAACAAAATAAAACATTAGCAGTGCGGAGACGTGCTCAGACGTGAGCAACTGCACTGAAGCATGTTGGTAAAGGAATGAACACAAAAAAAACTAAATGAAATTGTAATGGGAACAAAACAGCAGCGACGACAAGTCCTAGAGCCGGTAAGTGTAGTCTTCAAGTGCCCTTAAAACGGCAGATCAAGTCACCTGCAAAAGCCTGACTATGAGCTAAAATATGCATAGCATTAATTTACTATTGTACAATTGCTGGCACATACCAAACATGCGGAGATCGCGCCACTCGTCCAGTCGGCAAGAGATGAACAGTCATGATAAGCTGGAATACACAAACCCCATAATAATAACTATACGCTCATTAATTAAATATAGCCGAAAGGGCCAGAGAGAGAGACCTACCAGGAAGTCAAGCAGCAATACACCCCCGATGCTGAATGCAATTCATACCCGAAACGGTCGTCTACGGCAACCAGCGCGGGTTGCCAGGCATGCAACCCTCAGCACAACGAGTGCTTTTCTGCAAACAGCCCAGAACCTGACAAGAGTAACACTCAATCTAATGTTCGTTAGGCTCGAGCCTTAAAAAAAAAAAACCAGCCGTCCCACTCACCTCAGCCAGAGCACCAGACAGTCGCAAAAATAATGACGTGCTAGAACGCGGTCGCACATTCACGCAATCTCCGGTGACACCACTTTAATATACCCCTTGGAATGAATTACCTTAATCTATCAATGAATTGAGTGCTGATTACCTGCGTGCATCTAGGGCGGAGTCTCAATCTAGAGAGAGAACATCAACAAACAGCGGCACCTCACTACATAAAGCAAACACTCATCTCCATAACGGTGGCTTAAAATTTGAGATTTTTTCCTTGTGATTCTGCTTTAGGTGTTTTCAATAATGCTCAATCATCACTCATTTAATCACTTAATTATCTCATTAACTTTAACACTCTTGAGTGTGGACTCATATACACTCCCAGGTGTGTTAGTTTAACACGGGAGATTTTGTCGTGACGAAGAGCCGTAGTTCACTGACCAGCTGAGCCATAGATATATATCTATATGTCCTCGATATTAACGCGATTTGGCTCAGCTTGTCAGTGATCTACGGCTCTTTGTAGTGAATGCCGCTCCATCTGAAAGCAGGTGAAGGTGATTTACTGCTAATCAAGGAACCGGCTTTACTGATTAGATGCGCATTCAATATCGTTCGATATATCGCCCAGCCCTATCTGACTGTCCTGAGTCTGCAGTCAGAGTGAGAAGACAATACCTCCTGCAGCTCGCTGGAGGGGTCAGACTGCATAATCATCTCTAAAACTTCACTACAAGTCAAGCCCTCTCTCATGTTGCTTGCTGCTCTTCTCACCATCAAATGACAAGCGTTTATATCCACTTGCTTTGTTTTTGTTTAGTCTGCATTTCTCACCATCAAAAGGCAGCAGATGCATAAATACACTTACTTTGTTTTTGTTTACTCCATGTAGTTTTGAGAGCTGAAGTGTATATTTTTATTTTCTCAGACGCATCAAGGTGAGTTCTCACACTCTCTCATACACTCACGCACACCCACACACACAAACACTGTAATATGCTATTATACTCCATATAACTGCATGTAAAAGCCAGAAACTAAGCTTTTTTTTGCACAGGCCTGTCTAAAGGGTTAAATGGTTCCACCTGGTTATCAACAGTAAAAATTACAAATTTTACCTCTTCCCAACAGGGAAAACCATCAACAATCAAAAATGCATGATTTTATGGTGTCATGGCTTTGCAATCAAAAAATGTGGTTATAATGGAAGTCAATGGGGCAAAAACAGCCACGAACAGTAAATGAGGGAGAAAAAGTTAAAATCTGATGCTACACAAAAACTAACAATGCATCAAAACCAATGTTGTTTCTAATCTTTGACATGTCCAAGACTGTGATAAAAGGTAAAAAAAAATCCAGTCCACAATCATATTTTATTTTGAAAATAAGTCATTTTGTGTTTTTTTTCCCCCCAAATCAGTAACATCATTTATGAATTTGGCAATTAAAGAGTTAAAATCCTGAATTTTTAAAAAAAAATTAGTAGTTTTGATCAGGACTGAGGTCGGTTAATAGATTTATGCAAAAAAAATTTGAAAAAAATATTTATCTGATACATTTTTACAGCAGTTTAAAGTAGTGGCTTTTTTCAGCCACGAACATAACGAAAGGGTAGTGAATTTGAACAATGCACAAGGGTTAAATATCGATATCGATATGTCCTCGATATTAACGGGATTTGGCTCAGCTTGTCAGTGATCTACGGCTCTTTGTAGTGAATGCCGCTCCATCTGAAAGCAGGTGAAGGAGATTTACTGCTAATCAAGGAACCGGCTTTACTGATTAGATACGCATTCAATATCGTTCGATATATCGCCCAGCCCTATCTGTGCCATCACGCCATCTTGGCGAAGGTGTTGGGTGTCGCCCAGCCTGCAGCTCTGCAGATGTCTGTTAGCGAGGCGCCGTGCGCTAAAGCCCAAGAGGAGGACACTCCGAGTGGAATCCCACATAGCAAACAGATCCGGAACGGATCTGCCGCGGAGGTAAGAACCAGGTCCGGAACGGAGTCCACTTGCACAGCGCAACGGATCCGGAACAGATCCGGATTGCGGATCCAGACTAGATCCGCGGCAGACCCTATCCGGATCCGATCTGGACCCGTTCATTTCGGTCTGAAAACCTTTCAGATCACTCATTCAAAACTAGTAATCTGGCCAAAACTACAAAAATATTTCAAATCTATTGGTGGGCCAACATTAGATAGACTGCCCACTAAACAACATGATGTCCAAAAGATGTCTTTTCAACGTCTTTGTCACAAAAGTCGGATGCTGAAAAGATGTCCACTGAGGAGCCAGAATTAAAGTTTTTATGACGTGTTTTTTTTGACGTGTTCTGCACGTCCGATGTAGACGTTCATCGAACCTTCGTACACGTTTAAAAACTAGGTCAAATGTTGGCCATCGAGTTTAAAACTCATGTTTAAATCAATGTCATTTCCTTACATTGTTTAGATGAGGTTTAGATGTTATGTTTCATTTTAAAAAACCATTGTGGTGATGAGTGTTTGCTTTAGTTGGGCTCTTGGTCCCAATTCATCTTACTTTAACTTCTCTTTGGTTGTAGTACCTGTGCGATTGTATAACACTATTGTTGATGCACAGAAAGCCAAGAAAAAGTGAGATGCTGGCATCAGCTTATTGATTATCATTGCTAAGTCACAAAGTGAGCATGTGATGTTATGTTTAGACTTTAGTTTTTATTTCTGCCATTTATAACCACCTATCTTGTGGAACTGTGTTATTTGTAGGGTTGGGCGATATATCGCACGATATTGTTATGCGCATCTAATCAGTAAAGCCGGTTCCTTGATTAGCAGTAAATCACCTTCACATGCTTTCAAATGGACGATAGGAGTGTTAAAGTTAATGAGATAATTAAGTGATTAATTTAGTGATGATTGAGCATTATTGAAGACACCTGATGATCACAAGCAGAATCGCTGAAGGACAAAATCACAAATTGTAAGCCACCGTTATGGAGATCAGTGTTTGCTTTAGTTGGGCTCTTGACACTTATACTTTCACTTTAAATTTTGTGTGTCTGCTTTATTATTGATTAATAGCAGTCAAATAAGACATCGTTGATCTTATAGTGTTGGTTATGTTTTGACATAATCATGCTGTGATCTGAAAATGAAACTTTCAGATGATTTGGCTTAACTTGTTAGCAAGATTTTAGTGATTGTACAGCATATCTGTATTTTTTTTCTTTTAATATAAATTTATTAATAAATATTATTCTGCTTATTATACTTTCATGCTTATTTAGAAACACAGAGATCAATAATCAGTCTGTCTATCTCAACTGTGGTGGCGAAATTAATCCTTGTTGCCACCAATCACAACTCATTAATGGCTCCCATCATGCATTGCGGTTTGAATATATTATGATCTGAATTGTCTATGTAATTTACTTTTCCTACTTGAATATTCTACTCGTCACCGTTGTTGAGAAGCATTGACTGAATCTTGAGGTCTGTGTGTGCCTAAAGGAAAGGTTTTTTCTTTTAAGCAACTTTTGAGAAAACTGTCTATTATATTTAACATTCTGGACATTTATTCAGAATCTAAGTCATACACTAAGCAACAGAATAAATTATATGTTATAAATTTTATAAATAAACTTTATTATAAATGTTGTGTATATATATATATATATATTATATTTATATATATAATTACATAAATTTCAAATGACAAACGTCATTATATGACCAAAATCATTTTATTATTGTTTATTTTTGTTCATCTGATAGATATAACTCAGATGCAACAGCAAATTAAAGTATAAAGTTAATAATATAAGGGTGAGGAGCCCAACTAAAGCAAACACTCATCTCCATAACGGTGGCTTAAAATTTGAGATTTTTTCCTTGTGATTCTGCTTTAGGTGTTTTCAATAATGCTCAATCATCACTCATTTAATCACTTAATTATCTCATTAACTTTAACACTCTTGAGTGTGGACTCATATACACTCCCAGGTGTGTTAGTTTAACACGGGAGATTTTGTCGTGACGAAGAGCCGTAGTTCACTGACCAGCTGAGCCATAGATATACACTCACTGGCCACTTTATTAGGTACCCCATGCTAGTAACGGGTTGGACCCCCTTTTGCCTTCAGAACTGCCTCAATTCTTCGTGGCATAGATTCAACAAGGTGCTGGAAGCATTCCTCAGGGAGTTTGGTCCATATTGACATGATGGCATCACACAGTTGCCGCAGATTTGTCGGCTGCACATCCATGATGCGAATCTCCCGTTCCACCACATCCCAAAGATGCTCTATTGGATTGAGATCTGGTGACTGTGGAGGCCATTTGAGTACAGCGAACTCATTGTCATGTTCAAGAAACCAGTCTGAGATGATTCCAGCTTTATGACATGGCGCATTATCCTGCTGAAAGTAGCCATCAGAAGTTGGGTACATTGTGGTCATAAAGGGATGGACATGGTCAGCAACAATACTCAGGTAGGCTGTGGCGTTGCAACGATGCTCAATTGGTACCAAGGGGCCCAAAGAGTGCCAAGAAAATATTCCCCACACCATGACACCACCACCACACCGAGCTGAACCGTTGATACAAGGCAGGATGGATCCATGCTTTCATGTTGTAGACGCCAAATTCTGACCCTACCATCCGAATGTCGCAGCAGAAATCGAGACTCATCAGACCAGGCAACGTTTTTCCAATCTTCTATTGTCCAATTTCGATGAGCTTGTGCAAATTGTAGCCTCAGTTTCCTGTTCTTAGCTGAAAGGAGTGGCACCCGGTGTGGTCTTCTGCTGCTGTAGCCCATCTGTTCAGAGATGCTCTTCTGCCCACCTTGGTTGTAACGGGTGGTTATTTGAGTCACTGTTGCCCTTCTATCAGCTCGAACCAGTCTGGCCATTCTCCTCTGACCTCTGGCATCAACAAGGCATTTCCGCCCACAGAACTGCCGCTCACTGGATGTTTTTTCTTTTCGGACCATTCTCTGTAAACCCTAGAGATGGTTGTGCGTGAAAATCCCAGTAGATTAGCAGTTTCTGAAATACTCAGACCAGCCCTTCTGGCACCAACAATCATGCCACGTTCAAAGTCACTCAAATCACCTTTCTTCCCCATACTGATGCTCGGTTTGAACTGCAGGAGATTGTCTTGACCATGTCTACATGCCTAAATGCACTGAGTTGCCGCCATGTGATTGGCTGCTTAG